GAAAAAAAAAAATGTTGGTGGGTTTATAATTACATCTTTAGCGAGAACATTCCTGAGAAAACTTGCATTTTGATGAGGATTAAGAACCAATCCTCGGCTTACGATTTTACCTGGTCTGGCGAGTAGAAGAATATTCTATACACCGGCTTCTGGTTCCTTATGATCCATGCTTTGTTGCTTCTCCTGTCCCCATGCAGTCTCAGTGCCAGGCTCTACAGGACACATTTCTGCTGGGATGTGATCCCTGGCCCTGCACCTTGGTGCCTTACAGTAGGTGAGTCGGCCCAGAGGCTGGTAGGGCACACCCACACCAGCACAGCTTGCAAAAACCGAATGATAGGTGGGAAAGACTATAGACCCCGTAGATCTGTTCCATGAAACCCAAACTAAACGTATCTCATGTCAACTTGACTCTCATTCGAGTCATTCCAATATCTGACATGAGGTAAAGGAAAATTCGGGCCAAAAAAAAAAAAAAAAAAGAGAGAGAGATAGTGGTCTTAACTGACCACATCCAAAATTGCCTTATTGGGGTGCCTGGGTGGCTCAGTCAGTTGAACGCCTGACCTTTGGTTTTGGCTCAGGTCATGATCGCACGGTTCGTGAATTCAAGCCCTGCATCGGGCTCTGTGCTGACAGTGTGGGGACCGCTTGGGATTCTGTCTCTCCCAGTCTCGTTGCACCTCCCCAGCTTGCTCGCTCTCTCTCTCTCTCTCTCAAAAAAAAAAAAAAATACATATATATGTAAATTTAAAAACAAAACCCCAAGACTGCCTTACCTGTGAACATTTTATAAAAGCATATGCCCATGTGAACACATTGTTAGGGTTCTTCAACCCTGTCCTTAAAAAGGGCCATCGTACTGAGGGGCCCAGAGCTTAAGCTGTCTCTGTGTTGTACCTCATGGTTTACAATTTAATGTAGACACATCAATAATCTACAACTAGGTATAAGAAAGTCCAACAAAGTTTTGGTCTTTTGCCAATGATGACTGATACTCTTTAGGAAATAAATATCGGAACCTTTTGAAAAAGAAGTTTTCTTATTCTCTTAGCTTCGTGGCTCGCTGGTGCCTGTTCTCCCAATTGGGCTGATGGGGTGAAGTCACAGAGCCCAGCAAGAAAGAGATTATTCTTTCCAAGAAAGGATTTACAGCAGCGTTGTCCCATAGAACTTTCTGCAATGATGGAACTGTTCTGTGTCTGTGCTATCCAAAATGGTAGCCATTTGCCACATGTTGCTAGCTATTAAGCCCTTGAAATGTGGCTAGTGAGACTGAAGAATTGGATTTTACATAGATTTAATTAATTAAAGCAAAAATTAAAATAGCCACATGTGGCTAGTGGCTGCCATAGAAGACAGAGGAGATTTGCAGCCATTTGAGTGGGAAGATGGCAAAGGAAGGGGGCCATGCCAGTCATGTGGCTGTGACCAGCCTGCGGCTTTTTGTTTGTTTTTTACACCATTTTATTGAGGCATGATTGGCATAAAAACAGCTGTAAATATCTAATGTATACAACTTGATGAATTTGGAGGTAAGTACACACCCAAAAAACTATCACCATAATCTATGCCATAATCACACCCGTCGCCTCCAAAAGTTTCCTCCTGCCCTTGTTTATTTGTTACTATTATTCTGTGTGTATGAAAAGAACACTTAACATAAGATTTACCCTCTTAGTAAATTAAAAAAACTAAAAAAAATTTTTTTTAATGTTTATTTTTCAGAGAGAGAGAGAGACAGAGTGCAAGCAGGGGAGGGGCAGAGAGAGAGGGAGACACAGACTCCGAGGCAGGCTCCAGGCTCTAAACTATCAGCACGGAGCCCCAGACTCATCAACCAAGAGCACATGACCTGAGCCAAAGTCAGACTCTTAACTGACGGAGCCACCCAGGCACCCCACCCTCTTAGTAAATCTTCAAGTATGTACTGCAATATTAACTAGAGGCACCGTGCTGTACAGATCTCTAGGTCTTATTCATCTTGTAGCCCTGAAACTTTGTAGCCTTTGACTTCCATCTCCCCATTTCCCCCTCCCCCCAGCCCCTGGCAACCACCACTCTATTCTCTGCTTCTACGAGTTTGACTCTTTTAGATTTCCCGTGTACAAATGAGATCGGGCAGTATTTGTCTTACCGTGTCTGGTTTCTTTCCCTTCCAGGTTCATCCAGTTGTTGCAAATAGCAGGATTTCCTGCCTTTTTAAAAAGCTGAATAATATTCCGTTGTAGGTATATACCGCATTTCCCCCCAATTTACCCACTGATGACCATTTAGATTGCTTCCATGTCTTGGCTATTGTGGACAGTGTTGTACGGAACACGGGAGTGCAGACACCCCTTTGAGATCCTGATCTCTGTTCCTTTGGATAGGTACTCAGAAGTGAGATTGCTGGATCATATGGCAGTTCTAGGTTTCATTTAAGAACCTTCCACCGTTTTCCTCAGTGGCTAGACCAGTTTACACACCCACCAACAGTGTATCAAATGCTCCCTTTTCTCCACATCCTCCCTAACATTTCTCTTTCATTTTTTCTGATACCCGCCATTCTAACAGGTATGAGGTGATATCTCATTGTGGTTTCGGTTTGCACTTCCCCGATGATGAGGGATATTGAGCAGCTTTTCATGTACCTGTGGATCATTTGTATGTCTTCTTTAGAGAAATGTCTATTCAGTTCCTTTGCCCATTTTTTTTTTTTTAATTTTTTTTTCAATGTTTTTTATTTATTTTTGGGACAGAGAGAGACAGAGCATGAACGGGGGAGGGGCAGAGAGAGAGGGAGACACAGAATCGGAAACAGGCTCCAGGCTCCGAGCCATCAGCCCAGAGCCTGACGCGGGGCTCGAACTCACGGACCGCGAGATCGTGACCTGGCTGAAGTCGGACGCTTAACCGACTGCGCCACCCAGGCGCCCCCCTTTGCCCATTTTTAAATCGGGTTATTTGTTTTTTGTTTTTTTGCTATTGGGTTGTAGGAGTTCCTTAGGCTGGGGAGTTTCGAAGAGAGAGAACCAAAAGACAGTTCGGCCAGAGGGACTTCCCACTAAGGCTCTTGTCCTTCTCTCTCAGACATTTCCAGAACAACCTGGTAGGCCAGGCTGGGGATGGGGCTAACTGATCCATTAGACACAAAGCCTGGGGCCCATGGAAATGTTTTAATTTCTTTAAAATTAGAAGAAAACAAAAAAGAATTTTTAGGCTGAAGAAAATGTTTTCATATATAATATTAATATATTCATTGTTAGGTCAACCCACCCATAAAATATAATTCAAATTTTTATTTATTTATTTTTATGCTTTATTACTTTTGAGAGAGAGAGAGACAGAGTGCAAGCAGGGGAGGGGCGGAGAGAGAGGGGGACACAGACTCCCAAGCAGGCTCCAGGCTCTGAGCTGTCAGCACAGCTGATGGGGCTACGCAAAGCCTGATGGGGCTACGCAATCATGACCTGAGCTGAAGTCCACGCTTAATTGACTGAGTCACCCAGGTGCCCCTAAAATTTTTTTTAATTTTATTTAATTAAAAAAATTTTTTTACATTTATTTATTTTTTGATAGACATAGAGACACAGAGCACAAGTTGAGGAAGGGCAGAGAGAGAAGGAAACAGAATCCAAGGCAGGCTCCAGGCTCTGAGCTGTCGGCACAGA